TTCATGTTAGAAGAAGAGTATAAGAGATAGATAGAAGTTGAATCTAAAGAAATACTTATATAAAAGCAAGAATCACAAAGGTTTAAAGTTGATTACAAAGAGAAATGAAGAAAACTAGGCTTAGGTAGCATGAGAAATCTAGAAATTAGGTTTAGACACATTTATAGGAAAAGAAAACGAACCGGGTCAACCCGGAACAAACCGGGTTTTGACTTGGTTTAGAAAAGCAATCGACCACTTGGTCGATTCAAATCTCGTCCGTAGCTCTGATCCATATCAATCGACCGAGAAATCGACCAGTCAATCGACCAAGCAATCGACCAACTTGTCGACTGCTTCCTCGACTCCTTCTCATCCGCGTGTCTGGTTTGGTCCCAATCGACCAGTCAATTGCTTTCATCCTCCTCTTGATTGTTTGATTCTTCACTTCTTTCAACTCCATTTGCCTCCAAAACTCCATACTTCACTCCAAGAACCTAAAAATAAGAAATGCAATGCAAAATATGCACCTAAGGACCTAAACATGAATGCAAAATGATGGAAAACTAAGAGAAACAAAGCTTAAAAAGGAGCAAAAACACAAGATATCATCCTACCTCTTTAATGACTTCTTAATCTCTGTGAACTCTCTCATATTTATGAAGAACATTCATTTCTCTAGCTACTATTCATTATCTTGCTAGTGAAAAAGAACTCTCAGCCCCTGTTTTGGCAAGAACTCTCAGCCTTCTAGCAAGAACTATCTCACCTTTGTGTGAAGAACATTTTCAAGCCCTTTTCAACCATTTCTGGACCTCTGAACTCTCTGGTCAGTTTCTCCTCAAAATAATCATGGACAGGCGTATACCATACCACCTCAAAGGGAAAGGAAAGACTAATGACTACTCTCCGCCTCCTCGCAAGAGAATCAGAGCACCAGAACTAGATACCACAGATCTGATAAGAGAAAACTCACTTACGCTAATGGGAAGACTCACAAACCCAAAAGTTCAACGCCTATGGTCTCTTATCCCATTCCTCTCAAATCGTTGGAATCTCAGAGGGAAAGCTGTGGGAGCAGACCTAGGTAGAGGCTGTTTCCAGTTCCTCTTTGACTATGAAGAAGACCTTCAGAAAGTTCTTGACAACAGGCCATATCACTTCGATCAATGGATGGTCATCTTGGAACGCTGGGAACCTGTCATCTCTGCATCCTTCCCCTCAAAGATTCCCTTTTGGATTGAAATCCAGGGACTCCCAAAACACTTCTGGAAGCCAAAAATGATTTATTCCATAGGAGATGAAGTAGGAGAAGTCCTTGACCATGAAATAACACCTGCAGTTGTCAAAATGAAGATTCTGATCGATGGACTGCAACCTTTGGTAAAAGAAACTATTGTTGAGTTTCCAGATGGGAGAGAACTCAGAGAAGCCCTTGTTACCCTTGAGTACAAGAATCTTAAGAGCCACTGTCATCATTGCCTCAGACTTTCCCATGAGAAGAAAGATTGCCCAGGCCTAACTGCATCAACTCACAATGATCATAAGAAACCCGCATCACCTCCCAGAGGCTCCCACTCTTTAAAAGTCCTCTACAGTCCAACTAAGAGAGAGAACAGGCCTAGACAAAACAACTCTTATAACAAATCCCTCTCCTACAATCAATCACAAGCTGATCACAACACTTCAAAAAAGAGATATGGAGAGGAGAACCATCGAGCACCTTCCTACTCTGAAGGAAGATTCCACTCTCAAAGAACCTACAACAACACCAGAAGATCCCAACCAAAGCTAAGGGAACCTACCAGATCCTATGTCTCTCACAGAAGGGAACCCTCTAGGGAATCTTCTGGGCACTACCACAGTGAGCAAAGACAAAATCTCCAATGGAGAGAAAAACCTGTCTCCAGAGGTAACAACAGAAATGAATACTTGGATTCCTCTGATTCCTCCAGAGCTCGCAGACCTCCTCTAGAGAGAACTGTAACGGCTGAAGTAACCCCTCCTCCACTTCCTCTAATCCCTACAGCAGCAGAAGTAATGGGTGAGCTAAGGGATGTCACTATCCAATATACAAGTTGTGCGGATCCTACTCAGAGTGCAGCAAGGAAGCAAAGAGTGCTTCAGGGGGAAGCCAGAGGACTAATGGCCCAAACTGCAGAGCAGATTGTGGCAGCAGCAACTCTCACAAACCAGTCCTTCTTAGAGTCTTTGGCAACTCCCTCTGATATCCATTCTGACAAATCCCAGGATTTACCTGTGCACCCAGCAAATATCCCTGCAAGTACCCTGCCTAGTGCAAAAAAGAGAAGAGGTCGTCCTCCTCTAAATAAGCCAAAACCTACTCAACTTACATGATCAAAATCAAGCAAGAGAAACAAAGTGCTGATCCAAAACTCACCTAAGAGAAGAAATACTCCTGAAAGAACTGGACAGCATGGAGACACAAATAACTCCACCTGTAAAGGAGGAAAAGCAAAACAAAGACTTAATCTTCAGGGAGAGGAAAACGTCCCTTCATCAAGCAAAGCTCTGCCTAAAACAACTTTAATACCGGCTATGGTGAAGGATAGGGTGGATTTTCAAAATCCACCCAAGGCTCTTCCTTAAGAGTTTTGAGCTGGAACTGTTGTGGTTTGGGGAATCCCATGATAGTTCACCGCCTTCAGGAGATGCATAAATCCACTTCTCCTGATGTAATCTTCCTCATGGAGACAAAGAATCCTGATGACTTTGTTCTCACCAAGCTTCAACCCTTAGGGTGTTCAGGCACCAAACTTGTTTCTCCTCACAGCCCAGGAGGAGGAGGTCTTGCTCTCCTTTGGAAGCAACACATTGATATAGATGTTCTCTCTGCCTGCTCAAATTTCATAGATACACGTATCAGAGCTGAAGGAAAATCTTTTTTCGCATCCTTTGTTTATGGAGAACCTGACAAAACAAAAAGAAAAGCTATTTGGGATCAGCTCTCAGCCATAGGTCAGTCAAGAGCAGAGCCTTGGTACTTAACTGGAGATTTTAATGACATTATAAACTCCACTGAAAAGCAAGGAGGCCCGGAACGACCTGAAGGATCATTCATTGACTTCAGAACCTTCCTCTCAGAATGTGATCTCTTTGATCTATAACACTCAAGCAACTTCCTTTCATGGAGAGGGCAGAGATATGAGCATTTGGTTCTCTGTAGACTGGACAGAGCCCTATCTAATAGTGCCTTGGCTGAAGCCTATCCATCGGGTCGATGTGAATATCTCCAGTTTGAAGGTTCTGACCATAGACCTTTAATCACCTACTTCAGCCTGAAACAGAAAAGACGCAAAGGTATTTTCAGGTATGACCGTAGACTCAGGGACAATAAAGAGATATCTCAAATCATCATACAAAACTGGCAACCAGATAATCAAGAGGAGGAAGTTGAATCAAAACTAAGCCGATGTAGGAGAGCAATAATTACCTGGAGTAGAGAGGCTAATGTTAATAGCAAAAAAGCAAATTGAAGATGCCCGCAGCAGACTTGATCTAGCTATGAGCAATCCTCTATCCACCAGTCTACAAATTGCCTCTATCAACAATGATTTGAAAGCTGCCTACAAAAAGGAAGAAGAGTTTTGGAAACAAAGAAGTCGTCAACTATGGCTAACGCTAGGTGACAAAAACTCTGGATACTTTCATGCTATCACAAAAGGCAGAAAAGCAATGAATAAATTTGCTGTTATTGAAGACGATGCAGGAAAAAGCTTCTATGAGGAAGCACAAATCCTAAAAGTCATCTCTGAATATTACCAGAATCTTTTCAGTTCCCAAGAAGGAGAAAGAACTGCAACCATCTTTGAGGCTCTCTCACCATGTATCTCAGAGACTACCAACTTGTCACTGATTGAACTACCCTCACCAAAAGAGATAAAGAAAGCTTGCTTCTCCATCCATCTTGACAAGGCACAAGGACCCGATGGGTTCTCTGCAAGTTTCTTTCATACACACTGGAATACAGTTGGACCGCAAATCATTCAAGAAATCCAGAATTTCTTCTCATCAGGGATCCTGCCAAGAAATATCAATGCTACCCATGTGAGACTTATCCCAAAAATTTCAAGTCCAAATAAAATGGCGGATTATAGGCCTATAGCTCTCTGTACAGTTTTCTACAAAATCATAGCAAAAATCCTTACAATGAGACTTCAGCCAATTCTCCACAGCCTAGTTGCAGAGAATCAATCTGCTTTTGGCCCTCAGCGTGCAATCTCAGACAACGTGCTCATTACCCATGAAGCTCTACATTACCTACACTCTTCAGATGCAAAAAAAAGATGTTACATGGCCGTCAAGACGGACATGAGCAAGGCCTACGACAGAATTGAGTGGGAGTTCATTAGCTTAGTTCTTGAGAGACTTGGTTTTCACCAAACATGGAGGAACTGGATAATGCAATGTGTGACCACAGTTAACTATTCATACCTGCTGAATGGGATAGCTCAAGGCTCAGTCCTTCCACAGAGAGGAATACGCCAAGGAGATCCTCTTTCTCCATACCTGTTCATCCTCTGCAGTGAAGTGCTCCCGGGACTCTGCAACAAAGCACAAATGGAAAATAAACTCACAGGAATCAAAGTTGGGAAAAAGAGTCCACGGATCAGCCACCTATTATTTGCAGATGATACCATGTTCTTCTGTAAATCAGATAATCAAAACTACGACACTTTATTGGAGATTCTGAAGAAGTATGAGCTTGCTTCTGGTCAGATGATCAATCCTCTGAAGTCAGCCATCACATTTTCTGCAAAAACTCCTTCTAAAATCAAAGAAAAAGTCAAGACTCAATTGGGCATTCAGAGAGAAGGAGGGCTGGGGAAATATCTGGGTTTGCCGCCTGAACTATTTGGAAGAAAAAAGAGAGACTTATTCACCTTAATAGTAGACAGGATCCGTCAACGTGCTTGCAGCTGGTCTTCACGTTTTCTGTCTACAGCAGGAAAGGTCACCATGTTAAAATCTGTTTTGGCCGCCATGCCAACCTACACGATGACCTGCTTTAAACTCCCAAACTCCCTTTATAAGCGCATCCAATCTGCATTGACTCGTTTTTGGTGGGACTCAAGCATGAACAAGAAGAGAATGTGCTGGCTATCATGGCAAAAACTCACCAAAGCAAAAGGAGAAGGCGGGCTAGGATTCAGAGATCTTCAAAGCTTTAATGACGCTCTTCTTGCAAAAGTTAGCTGGCGAATCCTTACAAAACCAACCTGTCTGCTGGCCAGAACACTCTTGGGAAAATACTGTCATACCACTCCTTTCCTAGACAGCTCTGTCCCAAGCTCCTCTTCCCATGGATGGAGAGGAATCTGCATAGGCAAGGAGCTGTTAAAAACACAACTGGGTAAAGTATTAGGTAATGGGTCCTCAACCTTTATCTGGGATGATCCTTGGATCTCTCTTACTTCCCCACGCATGCCTATGGGTCCACCTACAGAAGATTCACATCGTCTCACACTGGACTATCTAATCTCCCCTGAATCTCTTGACTGGAACAAGGAAAAAATCAAGCAACTCCTTCCAGAACTTGAAAGAGAGATATTGGAGATCAAACTAAGTAAACTAGGTGATGTGGACGCTTATGCCTGGCTCCCTGCAAAGAATGGCGTATACACTGCGAAATCCGGGTACTACACCAGTGTTAGTACAAAACCTGAGGAGACAACCCCGCAGCACGATTCTCTTAAAGATTTCAACTGGAAGATGCTTATTTGGAATACTCATTGCTCCCCAAAATCAAAATTCTTTCTTTGGAAAACAGTTCGCGGAGCATTACCAGTTGGAGAAAACTTACGCCACAGAGGTATCAATGCGACAGCTAATTGCCCTTTCTGTGGAGAAATTGAAAGCACTCTACATCTCTTTTTCACCTGCAATTTTGCAAAACAAGTGTGGGCACTAGCTCCTCTCAAATTCCCTTTGGACCCCCATCGTTTGACTTCCTTCAGAGAGGGAATTGAAAAAGCAAGAGACTTAATCTGCTTACCACCAACGGGCATCGGCCTTGGCCCTCTTCATCCCTGGATTCTATGGAAAATCTGGGTGGCCCGAAACCAACAGATCTTCGATCATCGCCATGATCCTCCTCAAGAAACTCTAACTCAGGCGATCTTCCTTGCCCAGGAGTGGCAATCTGCTCAGACTCGGATCGAGAAACCAACACCAAAGTGTTTCCCGGAGCTGACTCCATGACCTGATCTTGAACTCATCGTTTACCACTCGGATGCGGCTTGGGATGCAGAGTCAAAGACGGCGGGACTGGGTTGGATCTTCACAAAGTAGGCCTCGGGACTGAAACAGCAAGGATCATCGACATCGATACATATCCGATCACCTCTTATGGCAGAAGCCCTCGCTGTGCACCTCGCTCTCACTCACGCTGCAGATCTAGGGTTCACCAAACTCTTTCTAGCTTCAGATTCAAAACAATTGATAGAAGCCATCAATTCGGAGACTCCTTTGAACGAGCTCCACGGGATTCTCCACGATATCATGATCCTTTCTTCATCTTTTCAAGCAATTTCTTTTAAGTTTATCCCTAGAGAGAAAAACAGAGAAGCTGATGCCTTGGCTAAGCTTTCTCTTCGAAACTTTGTATCAGCTTTTATTTAATTAATGAAATGGAAAAATCTTTGCCCAAAAAAAAAAAAGAAAGTATTGTCAGACATTCGCAATTCACGAAGAAAGTACAGCCCAACTCGTCTTCAAGCTCCTTTTAGCTCGTTCTATTTTACCATCAGTTCGGCTTTAATTCTCATTAACTGCTTCGACGAGATAACCCCTTGTAATTCGACTATTTTGTCTAAGTTTGGGCTCGTTTATTAAAAGAGAGAGTCTTTTTACTTCCCTTGAGATCTCCATTCAGACTAGTGTGATATTGTGCATCAACATCAAATAAGAGGCATAACCATTCGTTTACACCTCCAACTTGTTATGACCTAATTTGGTCCATTATGTGGCCATTTACCTAGTTTCGGTTGATTTATTCATCGACAATGACTCCCCAACAGGCAACAAATAATATTTTCATTTCAAAATTGAGTGATCTAACAGAAGGAAAAAAAACTCGCAAAAGTTATTCACATGGATAACTGTCTAGAGGAAAACAAAACAAGGTTTTCTAAAATATTATTTACGAGATACATATCGACGTAGTCAAGCTGTAGATCTTGTAGAGAGTTCTATTAAGAGCACCTTTCATATGAGAAGGTAACTAGTTTAGAAGCTACATAGTTTTCAGGAAGATTATCTTTTGTAGATACAAGTGAACAAAAGTTTATATTTTTGTAGACACAAGTGAACAAAAGTTATTAGTTATTTGAAATTGTCTTAACAATTTTTTTTTATTTTGTAACCACAACTGAACGTACATTCTTACGCTACTAGCTTGTTTGCCCAACGAAGATTGGAATGGTCCAAACAACAGTTTCTTTTTGTACCACCATTCATTCTCTCAAATCCTAACCACTCTCAAGGAAAAAAAAACAAACAACGAGATGTCTTCGTCGAGTGTAGAACAACACATAGTCCAACATTTTACCCATATCCATCCACTAACGAAGGTTGACGAATATCGCAAGTTCACATGCGGTGGCTGTAAAACCAACGGCTTTGGGAAGACCTATCGATGTGCCCTGTGCGACTATGATCTTCACGACCATTGTGCCATGTGTCCCTCTACCCTCATAAGCTTTATTCATCCACAACATGAGCTCCAGCTAGTTTTCAATGGACCAGAACATATGTGCAACATCTGCCACAGATTGGTCGAGGGAGTTTATTACCATTGCGAGACTTGTGGTTTCGATGTCCATCCACTCTGCACACAGCATCATCAGCACGTGAGCTCCGTGCCTCACCCGGCTCATCTCTTAGAGCTGAGTCAGTGTGGAGCGAGCAACACGTGCATGGTTTGCCGAGGCGCAATCTTATCCTGGCGGTACAAGTGGGGTCCATGCATGCTAGATGTTCACGTGGAATGCGTTAATTCGTCTGCACCAGCTACTACAGAATCTCAAATGGATTTGAGCACTACAAATAAAGGTCAAGTGTCGGGTCCGAGTAAAAGAAGAAGAGTGTTTAGATTTTTGAAGGATTTAACGGTTGAAGTTGTCTGCACTGTCATCGCAGAAAGGTAGGCCGAACTCGGTCTTTAGCGCCTTGCTTTAAAATGTGCACGTCTTTATTATTATGCTATTATGTTTCATTTCTCTATTGTTAATGTTTGCTTCTGTTTTCTCTCAATACAATAAATTTACAAAATGTTATGAGGTGAGCAAAACAATCCCTATTGAGCTGACTCGAACCAAAACCAAATTTCCAAACCCCAAATTCATCAATCAGAATAACAAAATTCACCAATCCAAAAAGAAAAAAAAAATCATCAATCCTATGTTTAATCTCAAAAAACTTGGATAGCATGTCATCATGTATGGACCAATGATAAACATTGAAATGTTGTGTGATCATGTCGTCATCCTTTTTTTTTTTTTTGTGTTGTAGTCATGTCACCTATAAGGCTATAACAAAAGGAACACTATTTACTCGTAGCAACATGTCGATGTCGTTGTTGATCGTTGATGACTACAAAGTAAACATGATTTAGCCATTAACAAAATGAACATAACAGAACATTGATAATTGTTATACAATATATATCACCATTTTTGAAATGCATTGTGTACCATGCATCTAACGAAATGGACTCCTGCACCATTGTTACGTCAATCAAGTCGGAAAACAAGATCTCGAACTATATGGAATCATTCAAGATATTTGTTCTGTCCTAGAATTTGTTCCTAAGAGCAGCCAATGTATTAGCCGGTTCTCTTTAGTTCTTAAACTTTTCACTTGCTCTAAATTGGCTTGTGATTTCATATGTAGATTTTTATGTTTGATTTTTCTAAGTATATCTAATAGAAATTCATTGGAAAAAATATATATATATATATGAAGTTGTGTTACTAATTCTAAGAATCCAAACCGTCCAACTAGACCTCTAATATATATATAAGCCTCATTATATATGATCCGTTATTTGGCCATTTACTTTTGTCTCGATCAACTTATGAATATATTGATAGTCAGCCAATTGTTCTTTTTTCTTGCTGGCTTTAGACTCCTGGCGTCAACAATGACTCCTCCAACAGGCAGCAAAATTTTAATTCGAAACTGAGTGCGACTAATGGTGGGAAAAAATAATAATAATCGTAAGACTTGTTGTTAATTACTCCGAAAAAACCCTTGAACCCAAGCTTTGATCATTAAAAAATAGAGCAGTGGCTCAAAAAAGAAGTCACATTGACCAGTCAACTAGCCTATGTCAACTAAACTGCTCTACCACATTCTAGTAGTTTCTAGTTTCTGACGAATGAGTTAAAGTTATTATTCGTAGAGCGCAAGTAAACAAAAGTTTATACTTTTGTAAACACAAGTGAACAAAACTTATTATTTATCTGAAATGGTCTAACAAAATTTTATATTTTGTAACGAAAACTAATCAAAAGTTCTTGGTTGTTTCCCAAACAATTCCCCAAACAATTCTTGGGACTGGTCTATAAAATTCTCTAAATCCTAACCATTCTCAAGAAAACCAAAAAAAAACAACCGATATGTCTTCGTCGAGGCGAGAACAGCAAGTAGTCCAACATTTTACCCATATCCATCGATTAACAAAGGTTGACGGATATGGTGAGTTCACATGCGGTGGCTGCAAAACCTACGGCTTTGGAAAGACCTACCGTTGCACCCACTGCGACTACAATCTTCACGATCATTGTGCCACGTGCCCCCCTACCCTCTCCAGCTTTATGCATCCACAGCACAAGCTCCGGCTAGTCTTTAAGGGACCAGAACAGGCGCACCAAAACAGACGTATGTGCGACATCTGCGACGAATCAGCCGAGGGACTCTATTACCAGTGTGAGCCTTGTGGCTTCGACGTTCACCCACTCTGCACGCAGCTGCCTCAGCGCGTGAGACACGTGCCTCACCCGGCTCATCTCTTAGAGTTGAGTCATTGGGGAGCGAGCAACACGTGCATTGTTTGTCGCGGTGCGATCAAGTCTTGGCGGTACAAGTGCGGTCCATGCAGGGTAGATGTTCACATGGAATGCGTTGATTCATCTACCTCGGTAGCAGCAACGGGAATTCAGCAAAGGGGTTTTGGACAGCAATTTGAGTTTTCTCAATATCACCAGCCTTATTACAATTACGGATACAATTACGGATATATAAATCAAGGTCAGGTTCAAGAGTCGGGTCCGAGTATAGGGAGAAGGATGTATAAGGTTTTGATGGCTCTGACGCTTGGGGTTGCTTGCAATATCATCGCTGGGCCGGCCGCCCAGGTCGTTATGGGAGGCTTTTGAAATGGCACGTCTCCAACGTCACACCATTATATGTGTCTTTTTCTCTAAATAATGTTTATGTTTGCTTTCTTTCTTTGTTTGACACAACAATTTACAAAATGTACGTGTTGCCATTTTCAATATACACAATATACTATGATAACTTGCATCCAAAGTTCGTAGTAATTAAATAAGCGTCAAGGGACATCAATGTCTTCTCTGAATATAATATTGAAAACGTACGTAGGAGTACCACTGGAGAGAGTTTATATGAGTAAATGTTGTGCCTCTCCGTAAGAAACAAGTTGCATTACTAATAAATTGATGACAATTCGGTGAATGATCTGGCACACGCACATCCATCCAATGATAAGTCTCATATCTCACCCGTCTCAGAGTTCTTCAAGAGTCTCATAAGGACTCTCGATCTCGTCAATGACATGCCACTCACCAACCTACAGTGGCGGAGCCAAGCCTGAATTGTTTTTAACTGGAGTCAAAAAAAAATACTAGAAAATAGTCTATAAACTGCTTAAAATATTAATAATTGTATCCAATGTTTACCATACTTTAAAACATTTTTTTAATCACTGTTTCATTTGTTACATTTTCAAATAATTTTTTAAAAAAAGACAAAACTAGACGATCATTTAGAAATTGATCACCGATGCAATTTCGTAATACCATCTCCACAATTTTCATCTCGAAAAACATCTCTCAGAAAACAAAACTACAAAGTAAAAGTAAACTAAAAAAACAGTAACAAAAACTTATAGTGTAAATATAAAATCTATAATTTTATCAGAATTTAAGTCACCTAATTTCTATTTTAACTAAAATCTAGAATATAGTAAGGCTACCTACTACTGATTATTACACAAAAGTATGATACATGTCTTCTTATACATTGCCGTGAAGAAGCAACAATTAACCGTTTAGAGATTTGGATGAATTTGTTTAATAACCCATGTAAATTATAAAAGTTGCAATAACCTTTTGGGTTTTGATTTACACGGTGAATATAATTTTTAAAGGTTTTGGACCTTTTTACATTTCATGTATTTAAATTAGTTGGGTTAGTGGGGCCAATTAAAAAATTTAACTGGGTTCATGAGGATTAATGTTAATAATATATAATATAATTTTGCAAATTAGTAGGGGTCAACTGACCCCATTATCAACACAGTGCCTCCGCCCCTGCCAACCTACCATGTAGCATTGACACACACATCTTCCATTTTAGATAACCCGAGCCCATGAGCAAAACAAACGGTTTTAACCTATCAAGGCTCGGCCTATAGGGGTAGATAGAGGTGCGACGGCCCGAAGTTTTGTTTTCTATGAAAAATATTCATTAAAAAGGTCCATATATTTGTCTCGAAAAATTAAATATAACCCAAAATTAAGTATAAAAAACGCAGAAATTTTTACAAAAAACTATAAAAAAGCCCAAAATTTTGAAAATAATTTTTTTTAAAACAAAACGCCCAAAACATTTATTAAAATATAGTTACAAAAAAGCTTATAACTGATGAAAAGCCGAAAACATAGTTTTTCGCCCAAAGGCCTTCATTTTATTTGGGCCGGGACTTGCCGGTTCAACCTCGGAAAACTTGGATAACATGTTATCAGATATGGACCAATTGAAAACTACGAAATTCTGTTTGATCCTTCTGTGTTTATGAGTTCTATTTGGAAGATCATCTTGACCCATTTGGAGACCTCAGCGCAGTGCAACTTGTGTAGGAGTCTTGCCTTAACTTCTCGACAACCACACATAGAATCGGGTTCTTCAGAACATTGTTCTTGAGCCATGTTGTCCTTAGAGAATCGAACAGTGAGTATCCATACAAAATCAACTAAAGCTTAATTTTCAAGATCTTTTGTCAATTTTGCAAAAAGGATGTGGATATGTAACATTATGTTTGTAGGGATATTTTATAATATTTTTAATTTTTGTTTAAAAATAAATCTATGGCTAAAGGGTAGTGGGAACATGAATTCTATATTGGCTAGTCATGGTCACTTAATAATGGTAAAAATCTTGCCCCCGGCAGCACATGTGGCCGGCCACTCATATTCTTATCTGTTTTGAGCTCCAGACAATGATATAACAATTGTGTGTGAGTGAAATGTTAGGAGACACAACCGACGGCTCACCTCATTCGATCAATAGATAGAAAATACGAAACAGGCTAGCCTCCGTTCGATACCACGACTGCCCGTGGCTTGCAACCTTCTCCAACGTTAAGTATGAAAAATAATACAACTTAAAAACTAAATGTTCTTTGATTAGATAATTAGGATCAAATGTTGTCGGTAATATATATCAAATTAATACCCTTAAAATTGAGTTGATATCTCGTTGAGTTGTAGGAGATCTAGACTAGATCATCTAGTGCTTACTGTATTCGTCGATTGACCTTTTGTAGTTTCCGGTTGAAGGTTGAGCTGGTTTAGTGTGACTCGTCAATTTCCTTTGATGTCTCCAAACCATTTAACCATTTGATGTTTTAGACCATTTCAACCATTCCGTATCTTTCTTTCAATTAATTGCCATTTGATCATATTTTAGGTCCACATGTCAAAGACTTTTCTTACTCTTCTGACATCGTACGCGTGGCCTAATAATTATCCTACAACTTGTCGGGATCTTCCCAGATAATCCTTATTAGGCTTTCCAAACCCAATTCAACCCCCCATAGTATGATATTGTCCGCTTTAAGTCTAAATGCTCAAGTCCACACTGATTTGTTATCGGGCTTCTTCCCAAAAGGCTTCATACTAAT